TTTCCACTCCTCTTGGTTTGATCAGGATGCCTCTAGGTTAGGGTGGCTTCTCTGTTGCTCTCATGTGAAGGCCAGGCTAGCCAAGCCTTTTTGCACTATGTCTTCCTCTGGGATGTTGCATTGCTGCAAACTCCCCCAGTGGGGTGTCAGAGCTGGGAGTGTTTGACATTGCTTTAACAGTCCCACCCTTCTCTGGGTAAGGGAATGCTAGTTCTCAAAAGAGCTGTGCTCCAGTTCCATTCTGTTGCTGTGACGAACACTGTGACCAAAAGCAGCTTAGAGGAGAAAAGGGTTTACTTCAGCTTATGGGTTACAGTAGTCACGAAGGAAGGCAGGGCGGGAACTTGAAGCCAGGCCTGCTTGCTATTCCACACACATTACCTCCGACAAAGGAACTTGCTTCATGCCAAAGTACAGCAGATGGAGGACACCGCTCTCTGGCTCACTGCTCTCTTGCTTAGCTAGCTTTCTTACACAGCCCAGGACCACTTGCCTGTGACTCTCATACCTCCACATGCATCAGAGGTATACAATGAGGGGTGCATACCCTAGCTGTACCCCCCAGCCATCCTGATTTACCTAAGCCATTTTTTTTTAAATCATACAGGGAACGGTGCAGCCATCAGTGGGAATGTGTGCAGAGCAAAGTTTGGATCCCCAGCACCTATGTAAATACCAGGTGGATTCGGGGGACCTCCTGTAATTCTAGACTTGGAAGGCAGAAACAGAGGATCCTCAGAGAAAGCTTGCTAGGGAAACTAGCCATATCAGGAGTTCTGGGTTTGATTTAGAGACCCTGCCTCATTAAATAAGGTGAAAGAGCCGTGGAGGATGATTAGGCTTCTACAGTTTCACACACACACACACACACACACACACACACACACACACACACGTGAATGGCTCCTGAGGAATGAATGCTGGCAGAGCTTGACACGCCCATACATGTACTCATGCAAATATGAAGACACAAAGTCAGTTCCCTTTATATTCCCTTTGCCTCTCTCCTCCACCCTCTCCCCTCAGCAGCATCACCTGCCTCTGCTGCCAGCCCTGGTTCAATGTGCCCTTCAAGGGGAGCAGTTGGCTAGCCTGCCATTCCCAGAGTAAGCCACTCTCTCTGAGTAGCACTCTGAGCTGAAAGGCCATATGGAATACAACACTGTCACCTAGGATGAGGTTGTGTCCTTGTGAGTTGGGAGAACAGAGGCTCTTGCCCAGGAATTGTTGGCCAAGGATCATGAAGACAGGCCCCCTTGCTTGCTAACTCAGATTCTTTCTGCAAGGCAGTGAGGGCCAAGCAGGGAGCACCGAGAGTTAACCAGAGGGGTGCTCACACAAAGCCCTTTTATTTTCTCAGCAACATGAAGTTCAATCAGAAAGTTGCTGCTCCAGTTTCAAAGCCTTCAGCTGGCGAGGCCCCTTGAAGGGTTTTTCAGGCTCAGGAGATGTGACTCCATGAGCATGAGCATGTACACGAGAGCGTGCTCGCGCACACACGCATGCACAAACATGCTCTGGGCACGTGACTTGGCACCTGCTTCTCTGTGGGCAACTTGATGCATTGCTTTCCTCCTTATGATTGACAGTACTAAAGCATTTTCATTATTTAGAGTGCTGAGGTATGCTTCCTCTCTCCTTCAACAGCGATGTCACAGTGCCCACCAGCAAGCCTCCCCACCCCACCCCTTAGTGGTAATCCACAGATGTCATCTCCTGAGGAGGGGGCAGACAAGCCCTGTCACCGAGTTCCCCGGAGACACCTTATCAGCCCCCTCCCCTTTTTTTCAGTGCCAAGTGACAGGGAACCAAGCTCTTATCTTTACGGCAGCAGTTTGAAGGTCCACTGGCTCTAGGGACCAAAGTGTAGGGTCCAATGTAGGAATATAGGATCAGGGAGAGTTAACATTGTTCCCTCTATCCTCTGGGCAGCACAGATGCCCCCTCCCCTGCAGGCATATATGGCACCTCCATCGTTTGGAAGGCTTCCCTGCCTAGGTCTACATGACCATAACCTTGTAGCCTTGCTGTGTCCTGACTCAGAGACTCCCAGAGATTATCACCCTTGAAGAGGAAGGACCCCCTACCCTGGAGGCTCTTTGAACAGAGCCCCAAACATTACAGAGATCAAGGACCACATTTCACAGATAGATCTGCCCAGTACAGCTTTTAGCCTCAGCTGTGAACTAGCCTTGTTTGTAAAGTGACGCTGTTTAGTCAAACATGGAGAGATTCAAGACCAGCCAAAGCTACATAGAGTCCATGTCAGAAAATGAATACATGCAAAAGTAGAGGCTAGGATTGTAGCTCAGGTGGTAGAGTGCATGCCTAGCATGCATGAGACTCAAGGTTTGATCCCCGACACTGCAGATCCCCACATCTGTAACCCCGGCACTTGGGAGACAGAGGCAGGAGGATTGGGAGTTCGGGGTTATCTTGAGCTACATGTTAAATCGGGAACCGGCCTGGGCTACATGTTCTAGAAAGAGGAGGAAGAGGCAGCATGGCAGCATGCCTGTCAAGAGCCAGCCACAGACTCCTTATCTGTCACTGCACCTGAGAGCTGAGAGAAAAGGACAGAGAGTGGGAGAGAATGGAAAAAAGGAAAGGAGGAAGTAGGCAGGCACCAGCGGAGGTGATGTCAGCTGAGATGGTGACGTTGAGGGCTCCCCAGGAGTATCTAGGGTGATGTGGATGTGGGGGCTCAGGAGAGCCTAAGGTGCCTTGTGCTGGGCTTGGTGCTGACACTGCTTACATCCTTGGAGGGGATATTGGTCTCCCTTTTGCAGGAGCAGATGGAGGGGGCACAGAGAAGTTTGGGAGTCTTGTCCAAGTCACACAGCTGCTGTGTAGAAGGAAGGGACTTGAATCTAGGTCTGTGTAGATTCTGGTCCAGGCTTGTTGCTTTCCCTGGAAGCCCCAGGAAGCCTCCCAATGTGGTCCTCACTGAAAATGAGCAGATCCCAGGATCCAGTCTCAGGAGGCACTGGTGCAGTGTGGCCAGTCCGGGTAGGGGATGGTCTGAGCTCTCTGCCTTCCACTGAGTCAGGCTCCCTTGACGATGTGGGAGGGACTGGGCCATCATCAGGCCAGGGACCTGACAGGGCTTCCTCAGTGCAAAACTCTTCTGGGCAAGCCAGGAACAACATGCTGAAGTTCAGTTCTGCTCAGAAGGCCCTGGTCCCTCTTCCTGCTGTCCCCAAGAAGAATCTGACCCTGGAGAAGGAGAACCTGGGCTGAGGGCTGTATCAGCAGCAAGAAAGGGTCTAAGATCAGCTCTGAGGCTGGCCCTGGGGTTGAACTGTGGCTGGGTAGAAAAAAGTGCATGCCCAACCAGAATGGCACTGGAAGAAACTAGAATGTGCAAACAGGGCATCTCTCTTATGGAACTGTAGAACCTAGCATGTTCTATCTGGTAGGGAGAGCGTGATTTCTATAATTTCCCTCTCAGATGGCTCTTTAAGCAGGTGACAGACCAGTAGTCTATTTTTCACACCATGTTTTGTTGTTGTTGTTGTTTACTGATCTATCTTTACTTTTCTTCCCTTTTTAGCCTCATTAGTGCTCATTCACAAAAGTATCTGTGACATCAAGGGTCTGGAATTTTATGTTATTTTTTCTAATGTTAATTAAAATAAATATACAACAGCTAAAATTAAAAACTTCATCTCTTCGTCAGGTGTGGCGGTGCACAACTTTAATCCCAGCACTTGGGAGGCAGGGGCAGATGGATCTCTGTGAGTTCAAGGCCAGCCTTGTCTACATAGTGAGTTCTAGGACAGCCAGAGTCCCTGTCCAAAAAACAAAACTAAACAAAAACAACCTTTTGCCTCCTCACTGCATGTGGTAGGGCTTACCTGTAATCCCAGAACTCAGGAGGTGGAGGCAGGATATCAAGGTTTAAGGTTATCCTAGACTACAGGCTAGCCTGGACTATATGAGACCGGATGAAAAATAGAAGATTCCTTCTTGACATTTTGGCTATGATCAAGTACAGAGCTTGTGAGCCAGGTGTGTGGTCATTGCACAGGACCTTACTGAGTGCCTGCTGTGTGAGCCCCAGCTGGGCTCGCTCCTGCACTGGTAGGGCTTCCCTGCCAAAGGTGCCATCCCATAGAAGGCTGCCATGGATCCTTCACTCACTCACCCTCCAAATTGCATCAAATTGGAGCCTGCTGACTAGTCAGGACCTGGAGTGTGGACACTGGGCAGGGTGGGCTGAGGGGAGCCTACTAGAACAAGACTCTCAAACTTCAGGGTGCTTTTGTGTCATTTAGGGGCAGGCAAGGAAACTGGGTCAGCACATTAAGTGTTGGACCCCACTCTTAAAATATTGCACTGACTGCTAGACTGAGCCTGGGACCCAGGAACTGCAGAGACCTGTCCCACCTTCAGTGATTCTGATCTAGTTGTTCTTAGGGTCCCACATGGAGGACTTCATTCCAGACTCAAAAGGTCCAACAGTCAGTGCCTTCCCATACAGCATACTCAGCCGTGTGGTGTGGCCTTGTACCAGCCATTTAACCTTTCTGTGCATGATTATAACCATGATGGTGGTGATGGTGGCAATGATGAAATGTAGAGCTAAGAGGTTTATGAGGACATGCTCACAGGGGAGAAATTAGAAAATCAGAGGGGCAGACAATGAAATGTGGTGGCTTACTTCCTCGAGCATAAGGTGGTATCCCCCCCCCCTTCCTCTGGCATTGTCCTCAGTCTTTGTGGACACTCAGCCTACTTAATCTCCAGGGCTGAGTGAAATGAGTTTCAACCATCAGGACACTGTCACATGTGTGGCTGGCTTGCTGTGTCACATGCCACTGTCACTGGTAGTGAGAGGACCCTGCACTCTTTCTAGAATATTGCTGGGCGTGTGAACAACAAGCAGGAAAGTTGGAACATCCTCCTGCTGGGTTCTGTGTCAGAGAGACCCTCTCAGCAAGCAGCCAGCTCACTATAGGCTCTGTGTTCTTGGTGGTTTCCTCACCTCTCATCCCTCCATGAAGGTGAGCACAAGGGATCGTTGACTCTCCAGTGCCATGCCCAGCTCCTTCGTGAATAATCAGCCTAACCTTGCTGCTGTGGTCCCTTGCAGATGTCCTGGCGACCGCAGTACCGCAGTTCCAAGTTCCGGAACGTGTACGGGAAGGTGGCCAACCGGGAGCACTGCTTTGACGGGATCCCCATCACCAAGAATGTACACGACAATCACTTCTGTGCAGTCAATGCCCGCTTCCTGGCCATAGTCACTGAGAGTGCAGGAGGTGGCTCCTTCCTTGTCATCCCCCTGGAGCAGGTAGGTTGCCCTGGTTTCCCTGAGACTCTGAAGGAGAGCAGGGCTGGACCCGGGAGCCCTGAGATCTGTTTTCTGTGCATCTAGATGGGCCTCTACCGAGAGGACTGGAATGCACCTGTCTCTAAATCCAGCTTGGCTTCTGTCATTCTATCGCAGTGTTCTCTTGGTATAGAGCAGGAGGAAAACAGAGACAGCTATGGGTACTTTGGGACACACCCTCTGCTGGGAGGCTGGCCACCATCTGCTGGGTCTTGGTGCCCACTTCCTGCCTGGAGGCTTTCACCCCTGGGCTGCTTATGTGACTGCTGCAGGTTAAACCCACAAAGCTTACTGCTGCGATTTTGATGCTGTTAGCCATTCAGGCACAGTCCCAGGAGGCCCGTGGGAGGTCACGAGCCTCAGGCAAAGTGCTTGCTGTCAGTCTCACTTGTTTATGCCTGAGCTCCCATTCCTGGCCTGACTCATCCCTGCTCCAGGGAGGAGGCGCTTATAGAAAGAAACACTGCTTCTAGAAATGCTGTCAGCTGGTAGCAGGGACAATTTCCAGGCTTTCCTCCCACAGAGGGTGTACAGCTTTGGGGACTGTGTGGGACACATCCTCTTTCCCACCACAGGGCCAGCTACAGTGGTCCTGAGGACAGAGCTAGACCTCAGGAAGCTCTAAGGAGTGACTTGGGCGCTGGAGGTACCAGCTTTCGCACCTGCCATCCAGTAGCCCTTCCTTACATGTGTCTCTTTTGTTTCCCTGTATTGATAAAGCAGGGTTATAACTCCTCTCCCTGCACTGGCCACACGGGCCTCAAGTGGCAACAGACATCAATGTTGCCCAGGAGCTGCAATGCAGGGGTATCTTTGTGACAGTCATTTGTGAGCCACACAGTAGAGATGGGTTGTTGTTTCCTTGGTGAAGTTAGCAGCTTTGCTTATGGACCTCTGAAATACAGCTTGCCTCCCTTTCCAAGCCAGATGGCCTCAAATATCTGCCATGGAGGCTAGCTCAGCTCCAGGCAGCTGTAGAGGCCTGTGGACCCCTGGGATGGGTGGGATAAGCCCATTGCCTGTGCCTTGTCATGTTCTACTTCCTAAATTACAAACATCAACACTCGGTGCCTTTTTATACAGCAACAATTCTAGATGGAATCAAGATGTAAGTGTTTAAATGGGGGAGAGGAAGAGAGAAGAGGAGAGAGCCTGGCAGGTGGTATACATACATAATCCCAGCATTTAGGATGTTGGAGCAGGTACCTGAGTGAGATTTTTATCTAAGAAAGGAAAAAAGGAAGTGGAAAGAAGAGTGGTGGTCTATCAGGGAAAATGGGAAACATTTTGAAAGGATTTTAATATTAATTTTAAATTATAGCTATTTACTTTGTGTGATGTGTGTGTTGTGGATGTGTGTGTTGTGTTGTATGTGTATTGTGTGTATGTGTATATGTGTTATGTGTGTGTTGTGTGTGGTGCATGTGTGCATGTGGGTATCCATGATATGTGAGTGGTATGTATAGGTGTATGTGTGTGAGGTGCGTATATAGCATTTGGTGTGTATGTGTATATGTGTGTATGTATGTGGTATGTGTGTGTGGTGTGTGCATGTGTGTGCTGTGTGTGTAGTGTTTGGTGTAGTGTGTATGAATGTGGTGTGTTGGTGTGGGTGTGGGTGGGTGTGGTGGGTGTGTATATATGTGTGTGTTGTGCATGTAGTATTTGGTGTGTGTATATGTATGTGTGGTATGTGTAGTGTTTGGTGTGTGTGTATGTGTATATGATATCTGTGTGTATGTGGTAGGTATGTGTGGTTTATATGTATGGTAGGGATGTATGTGTGTATATATGTGGTGTGTGTAGTGCTTGGTATGTGTGTATGTTTGTGGTGTGGTGTGTGTATGTGTGCAATGTATATGTGGTATGTGTGTATGTATGTGGTATGTGCAGTGTGTGTGTATATGGTATATGTGTTTGTATATATGTAGGTAGTATTATGTGTGGTGTGTATGCATGTGTATGTACTGTGTGTTTGTAGTATGTGTGTATGCGTGTAGCGTTTGGTGTGTGTGGGGTGTATGTGTAGTGTTTGGCGTGTGTGTATGTATGTGGTATGTGTGTGTATGTATGTAGTGTATGCAGTGTGTATGTGGTATATGTGTATGTGTATATGTATGTGGTATGTGTGTGCAGTGTGTGGTATATGTGTATGTGTGTATGTATGTGGTGTGTGCAGTGTGTGGTATATGTGCATGTGTGTATTATGTGGTGTGTATGCATGTGTGGTATATGTGTATGTGTGTATGTATGTAGTGTATGCAGTGTATGTGTATGTGTGTTATGTATGTGATGTGTGTGCAGTGTGTGGTATATGTGTATGTGTGTATGTATGTGGTATGTGTATATACATGTGTTTGTATGAGTACACATGTGTATGGGGGGTAAGGTGTATGCCACAGTGCATATGTGGGGTTAAAAGACAGCTTTCAGAAGCCAGTTCCTTCCCTCTACCATATGGGTCTCATGTATGGAACTCAGGTCATAAAGGGTTGGCAGCACCTTTATCCACTGAGCCATCTCACTGGCAGCAGGAGAGCATCTTTAAAACCATGCTGTGTGAAAGGCTCGATACGTGAAAGCATCTCCCCAAACCATCAGGGAAATGATTGCTACAATAGAATATATTTGCAAGCTACTAGTTCCTGTACTACAATGAGGTGCCCAAACAAAATTAAAAGGAAACCACGTGCTTGAGCAGCATATTTTCAGTACACAACAAATGAAACCTTTGTGTTCTGGAACACAGAGGGTTCCAGAAGAATCAGTACAAAAGGGAAATGGACAAAAGACCTGCATAAGCAATTCACAGAAGAAACACATTTAGTAGATCGCTCAGGACTGTGGTGTACAGGCCCCTTGTTGAGTGAGCAGAGTAGCTAGGAGATAGCTATTCACTTCTAAGACACCAGCCAGCATCCCACCTCGAGAATCTGTTCAGCTGAATTGTCTTCAGGTGGATTTAAAATGTTAGCAGATGGGTGTGGTGGCACAAGCCTATGATCTCAGCCCTGAGGAAGCAGAGTTATCCCACGGCTGCTTTTGGGCTATGTATCAAGTTCCAGACAGCCAGGACTATAGCAAGGCATTGTCTTAAAAAAAAAGGGGGGGGTAGCAAACATGGTGACACACATCTGGAATCACAGCACTGAGGAGGTAGAGGCAGGGATATCACATGTCCAAGACCCACCTGAGTTACACAGAGGTACCCTGTCTCTAACAGATGCACACACTCAAGTATTTGCAGCTTTTCTTTTACTGTTTTAGAAACAGGGTCTCACTATATATAGCTCTGGCTGGGCTGGAACTCCCTATTGTGGACTTGAATTCACATTGATCCGCCTGTCTCCCCCTCCTGAGCACTGGGATTAAAGGTGTGTGCCACCATGCCCAGCTTGTTTGCAGTATTTTTAACCTCCAAGTTTATTGTTATTATTTTCATCAGTTAAAAAAAAAAAAAAACTTCTCTGTCAAGTTGTGTCTTAGTCACTGTTCTATTGCTGTGAAGGAACACAAGGCAGTGCTTATAAAAGAAAATATTTAATTGGAGCTGGCTTACAGTTCCAGAGGCTTAGTCCATCATCATGGCAGGGAGTATGGCTGGCAGGCAAACATGGTGCTGGAGAAGGAGCTGAGAGCTACATCCTGATCTCCAAGCAGAGAGAAAGGACTGGACTTAGCATAGGCTATTGAAACCTCCAAATCCACCCCCCCCCCCCCCCCCCCCCCCCCCCCCCCCCCCGACCACACCTAATTCCTCTAATCCTATCAAAGAGTTCCACTCTCTGGTGACTAAGCATTCAAACATATGAGTTTATAGGAGCTATTCTTATTCAAACTATCACAAACTGCTTAAAAGCTTCTAAATTCTGTACTCTATACAGAGACATCAACCTCCCTGGAAACAGTGTTACACATACTCTCTCTCAATCTCTCTCTCTCTCTCCCTCTCCTTCATTTGTTCACATTCCTGGGGTTCCACTCACATGGAGTGGGTATCCTGATTCACAGGTGTGCTGTCATAGTGAAAATTTGCATGCCCACTGCAGGCCCATCATGGAGGAAGCAGGTGGCATGTCTCTTTTCTCATGGGTTCTGTGGTCATCCAAACAGGCCCTGTTCAGTCTCCAGATCACTTCCCACACTTCTGGATGATGAATTCTAGAGGGCTTTCATTTCCTTGGATTATAGCTATCATCACAGTGTGTTCATCACAAACATGAAATCACCCTGGACTGGGGATGTGTAGCTCAGTTGGTGGGGCACTTGCCTAGCATGCATGAAGGCTTGCTGTATAGACCAAGTATGGTGGCCCATGGCTCAGGTTTGTAGTTCTCCCAGTTCTCAGGAGGTGGAGGCAGGAGGATCAGAAGTTCAAAGCTATTCTCTGCTTCATAGTGAGTTTGACATTATCCTGGGCTATATGAGACCCTGTCTCTAAAAATAAAATCTTTAAAATATGAATCAATGAACTAAAGTAATAGCAATCACATTTCACATACCCCCCAGGAAAACATATTTTATGAAAAATAATATTTTTTGAGAAATAATATTTTCTTTTTTTTTTTTTTTGGTTTTTTCAAGACAGGGTTTCTCTGTGTAGCTTTGGAGCCTATCCTGGCACTCGCTCTGGAGACCAGGCTGGCCTCGAACTCACAGAGATCCGCCTGCCTCTGTCTCCCGAGTGCTGGGATTAAAGGCATGCACCACCAATGCCCGGCCTAGAAATAATATTTTCTAAAGCCAAAAAAAGTTAATGAGGGTTTCAAGATGGGTCCGGGTGGTAGAGTGCCCACCTAGCATGTAGAAGGTTCTTGGTTAGATTCTCAGCACTGAAAAAAGAATGGATAAGAAGAACAGCATTGTTGCTACTTTTCAAAATCCCTTTTAATATTCCTCTGGCTTGATAGAGGACAGCTGGACTCTCGAGCCTGCTTCTGCATTCAGCCTGTGGAAGTATC